GGGGAGGGGCTGGAGAAAGATGGGGGGAGGGGCTGGAGAAAGATGGGAGGGGTCGGGGGAGGGGTCGCCCGCCACCCCGGGATCTCTAGGCACCCTCTTGCTCTGCAGGTTAGGGGGACGGCGGGCAAGATGACCTCCCCCAACCCTCATTCCCCGCCCCCCCCATCCACCCCTCGATGCGGGGGGGCCGGACTCACCCCTTGCCAGTCCCGAGCCGGACAAAGCTGACCGCGCCAGGCCTCCCACAACACACTGCGCCTGCGCCCAGGAAGGCACGGACTACGAGCCCCAAGAGCCTTCAGGCTCGCGCTTGCGCACAACGGGCCACTGGATCCCGCCCCCAAAAACCCTGCTGGGTGACATCACATTCCAAGAGCCTCTGAAGACTGCTGGGAAATGGAGTCCTGCGAGCGGAGGATCGACGCAGGCGCAGACGGTGCGCAGCGGGCTCTGGTCTCCACAGTAACCAGGGCAGCACAGGGCGGGGCCCCTGGCAAGCTCCTCTTCTGCTCCCCTAATGCGGCCCCCCTCATCCCCCAAGCGGACTGAATACTGCATTGGGACTTGATAAGGAGGCCCAGGCCACGAGCCAACTTTTCCTTCCTATCCAGCCTTTCCCTCCCCAATCTGGGCACCAAGCCCACAAGCTCTGGCTAAGTGCCCAGTGCATGCCCGCTCGCCACACCTCCCCAGCAGTCCTCTTCCCTGAGCCTTGGGTCAGCCCTCGGGCTCCATTCGCACATCTCTCTCCTACACTCAAGTTTTTATGATCATTTGAGGTGAGCCCCAGCCTAAACATGAGGGGAAGGCCTAGGGAGTGCCTGCCACCTCCTCCAGGCAGCCCCCCATAACTTCAGCGGCTACTCTGTGGGTCCTGAGAATGTATGCTCCTTGAGGGCAGCGCCTATTCCTGGGGCATCTGGGGGCACTCCATGGCATAAATTGTGGGCCTGAGGTCAGGAAGGTCTGGGTTCAAATCCAGCCTCAAATGAGATCATTATAAAGCACTTAAGTTAGCCCAGTGCCCAGCACACCATGCACACTAAATAAATGCACATGCCCTCCCTGGCCAGGCACACTCCTCATACTTGTTTCTGAACCCCCCTGGGCCAATGCCAAGGCCACACATCTCCAGGAGTGGCCAGGAGGCCATATTCCATACAAATGGAGAATGAGTGAGGCCATTGGCCCACCTCACATTGTGGCATGGGGGGACCAGAGGCACAGGGCCTGTCTCAGAGTCCCCTCCGGGACCCTGCCCACCTCTCAATTCTGCAGTTCTCCGGGAACCCTTCCCAATGCCCAGGCCAACGTACCCGTCTCCAGCCAGATCCCACGTGGCATGAGTGGGGCCGGGTGACCAATTTAGCGTGCTGGGTTTCCCACCTTTTGATCTTGTCTCCCTCTGGGAGACCCAACCTTTCCATGGGGGTATGAGCCTGACCCACTGGCCAGATGCCCTTGGAAGCCAACACGACGTCTCCTATAGCCAGCACGTGGCCTCACTAATGACGGGCCGTGTGAAGTTTGCCAAGGAAGGTACAGGTTAGCTGGTGTGCCGGGCTGTGGTTAGGCACTCCTTCCTTTCTCTGAGGCCCAGGGGCCTTCTCCTTCTCTCCCTCCCTCAAGTGGAGTCTCTGGTGCTTAATTAGGATTGAACAACAGTGGCCAAAGGCCTTGCCACACCCATGACACCCACGAGGCTTCTGTCAGTCCCCACTGTGAAGCAGGAAGTGCTGTGGCCTGGCCCAGGAAGAAGGCAGTGGGGTGGTCAGCAAGTGGTCTCCACCCCTTCCCTTCCTTGCTTCAAGGGATCCCCAGGGAACAGTGCCAGAGGCAGGCTTCCAGCAGGGTCTCCCTCTACCCCAAAGAGCTGGCTGTGACTGTGGCTGTGGGAGGGACTCTCTGCGCAGCCTCCTACAGAACTGGCCACTGGGAACCCTGGCTCTTTCTCAGGACTCTGCCAGGAAAAAGGGCCATTTTTACATTTAGAAGGCAAAATTAGAGGGCCAGTTTGTTTTCAGCTCGGATATACCATGCCTCTGTCTACATCTTAAAGACTAATCAATGACCACTTTCTTTCTCCAAAAAGAACCTTTGGCAGTGTGGAGGTAATTCTGACGGCCTCACAATGCAGCTTGAACTGATCAGTGACACCTTGACAAGACTCCCAATCATCAGCTTCCTTCTGCCTGCGTACTTGAAGCAAAGTGAATCAAAGACTGTAGGCCCCATTCCCATCACAGAACTGTGGTCCCATAACCCACCAAGCAATGACCCCCGAGGACTTGCGCAGTATTGCTCCGTAAGGACTGCAGAATTGGACGTCTTCCATTTGTGGGTCTGTCTGGGAAACCGCTCTGGCCCTGGGAAGACGATATCCACCTTCCCCCCTCCCCTCCCATTGTGATTTCACTTCAGCAAGGAGGAATTCTGATCAGGAGAATTCCCCATTTCCAAACCTGCTCCTCATAATGAAACAAATTCATTAAAGGCTACCTGATTATCGGCACTTCGTTTCTGGCCTACTGTTTTGTCATTCTCAGGTTAGAGCCAGGCTCAGCAAAACGCTGTTAAGAGCAGGTAGACCTGAAGCCGCTGCATCACCACTCCAATAGCGCCCAGGATGGAGGAGACACCTGCCTGCTCGGGTGCCACATCCCACTGGGGACAAGGAGCTAGAGCAGGCCCTGTCCCAGCCCCCAGGCAAACGGCCAGAGCATGACAAGTCTGGGGACGTGGCCCCAGTCTCCTGACCCCCAAGGGGCCCGCCCCGACGGCTCTGAAGAGCTCTCTTCTCTCAGTGACCATTTGGGTCAAACTCTCCACCAGGCTCACAACCTCCTCAATGGTCTCGGGACCCTGCTTTCGCACCGGGGCCTGGGTCTCAGGGCAGGACACTTGTATTGCTAAGCAGCCTTATTAACTGCAGCTTAAATTAGTTTTGGTTTGGAAATAACACAGAGTCTCAAGTTTGATTTGCGTATAAGTAGACAGTAAAAGTATTTATTATTAAGATAGTAAAATAGGATTAAGATTAGTAAATAGAATAGAGTTAGTCAGTCCCAACAGGTAACAGTAACATACTTAAGTCCCGGCTTTCAGCCTCCAGAGTCCCAAACGGAAAATCCCGGGCTCCACGGCGGCCCCTCGGGAGGGACTCCGAAGGTGAAGTTGGGGCTGCCTGGTTTTAGTTGTTCCTTCGAAGAAGGCAGTTGGCCAGAATAAAGGCGTGCTCAGTGGGGAAGGCGAGGTTCTCAAAACATCCTTGAGAGCAGTTCTGTTCAAGGTTGTTTCCGGCACCTGGAGGAGTGGCCAGCCCTACCAGGGAGCAAATACCTCGAAAACAGTCCTTGGACATCTAGCCAGGAATAAGATTAACTAACGTAAAAAAAGAGTCAGGGTCAAATTGCAGGCATGCTGAGGGAGGTGAGGATGGCTTTTCTGAATTCCTTCATCACGACAGCTCCCGCATCTGCTCCTTGGTGAGACCCTGGGGGCGCAGCCACCGCCCCAGGGCCTCCTGGTAGCAGAACATCTGAAGCCCTGGCAGGATGGCTCAGGGCCCTGAGGGGCCCCTTTGAGGTGGGCAGCCTGAGGGCCCCAGAAGGTCTCCAGAGACCATTTGGTTGCCTCTCCCAATGGGGCCTCAGCTCAGTCGTCCCCTGGGATGGGGCAGAGATGGGCAAGATGAGGAGAAATGACTTGAGGAAGACTGAAGTCCACAGCAACAGAGCGGGGTGGTGCCCATTTGGGGACAAAGTATGGAGGTACAAGCAAAAATCAACTAGTAGAGACCAGTGCAGATGCTCACTCTTACTCACACAGGGTGCCCCCACACTAAGTAGTGTGACCCCCCCCCCCCCACTGCTGCCAGGCAATCCCCCTCTAACACCCTCATCAGCTTCCTCTCCCCCTCCCCACTCTCTCAGCTGAGATCCTGCCTCCTAAGTGGAGGCATTCACCATGACATGAGCTCCCTCCTCTCCCATCATTCAGGGGTCTTCTGCCCCTCTCCTCCCATGATGAGGCGGGGCTGACCCCTCCACCTGCTCAAGTGACCCCCCCAACAGATCGCCCCCCCTGTCACCCCCCCCCACGCCCCCCCAGTAATCTCGAATCTCTCCCTCTCTCCTGGCTCATTTCCTCCTCCATCCTGTAAAAACCCTCATGTCTCCTCTGCCTTTTGCAGCTAAACTTCCCCAAAAAGGTATCTACAGCGGCACCTCTCCTCTCACCCCTTCCTTCTTCTTTTTTTTGGTTAGGCAATGGGGTTAAGTGACTTGCCCAGGATCACACAGCTAGTAAGTGTAGCGTCAAGTATCTGGGGTTGGATTTGAACTCAGGTCCTCCTGCCTCCAGGACCGATGCTCTATTCACTGTGCCACCCAGCTGCCCCCTCAGCCCTTGTTTCTTCCGACCTCACCATTCCAGCCAAAGTGACCAGTGGTCTGCAAGTGACCTGTCAGGCTGCAGGCCTGGCCACTGTGGGTCACTCTCTTGTCCCCAGGTTTTCAGATCCCTCCCTCCTGGTTCTCCTCCTCCCTCTGACCCTCTATGACCTCATGTCAATCTCCCCGGACCCTCCGCCCCCCAGGCCTTGCCCCGCCCCCCCCACTGCGGCGGGGCGGAGCGAACCAACTTCTGGGGACAAGGAGACCAATGCGCACCCCGCTCTGAACTACAACTCCCAGCATGCTAAGGGGCAGTGGCGCGCAGGCGCACAGACCGCCGAGGCGTCTGCCCAACCTCCTCTCCCCTCTCTGCCACGCCCCCTTCCTGCTGCTGTGCAGGGCTCCCTTTCTCGGTGCTCAGCCGGTGCGCGTCTTCCCTGCTTCACTGTGCTCTCAGCGTGGGGTGGCTCCGCTCCCCTCCCTCGCCCCTCCTGCCCCAGGTGCAGAGCTTTGTTGGCCGCTAGGCGGCGCGACAGAGCGCAGGAGCCTGGAGAATCGTGAAGACCCGAGTTCAAATCCAGCCTTAGACATTTACTAGCTCTGTGACCCTGGGCAAGTCACTTCACCTCTGCCTGCCTCAGTTTCCTCATCTGTAAAATGGGGATCATAACAGCACCTGCCTCATAAGGAGATAATAATTGTAAAGAGGTTAGCCCAGTGCCAGGCACATAGTAGGCACTATATAAATGTTAACTATTATTTTATTATCATTAGGTGTCAAATACAGAGCTCTGTCCATCCATCCATCCATCCATGCCTCCTTCAGGCCTGGGTCTGGTGCTGGGAGCTGCTTCA